AAATTAAGTGCCAAATTGATATTCGTTTTAAATCGGCATCAATTAAGGGAGAATTAACTTGTAATTAATTTGTTTTATGCAAGGGCCACCGACGCCAGATTCGTTTTAGGGCATTTGCCACCAGCGATCGCCACTGGTAAGAGCTGTCGCAGACTATCCTTAAAAAATGTTTTTACATTTAAGATGTGGATTTATTTCCTTATTTCAGCACTCCACTCATTTCAGCAGCACACTATGCCGTGTCTGCAGAAGTTGTCGTAGTTCAGAATAAATGCAATTCTGGTTAAAATTTCCATTCACAATTGCACTTAAAGTTGTCCTGGTGTATATCGTGGGTGGCCTTTTGAGTTACGGACCCCGGCAACCTGCGTTTGAATCCATGCCACGGCTAACACCGGTGGCGAGTGATATCTGTGCCAGTCATTAGCGCCCCCCTTATCAACCAGCACTTAACCGGCATGGTGAGGTATGGCCAAAAAAATCACGATGACCGAGATTCGCATGGGGAGACCTTCATCGATTGATGGACTGACAAAGGACTATAAATAATTATTATGATATACTTGTGTTGTAATATACAGCCTTTTAATGTAATCACCATGACCTTCAGCCTTATTCTGTGACGTCCGGCCTGGGGCATTTCATGGCCCACAGGGGACATTTCGGAGGTGTCGTGGAAAAACTTGTTGACCCATGACCCCTACCCCTCACCGCAAAAAAAGCAAATAGTTTATAAAGTGGGTTTTCGTGGAATGGAAGTGGATTAAGTGTATGGAGTGAGGGCATTAGTAACGTCATTGTGTGGCCATCTGTGGGCAGATGCTACAATGCAAACTTTTCAAACGTGGATTGTCACCTGTTGTAATGAAACCATCGTAGATTAAATAAATATATATTCACATATGTGGTTGCAATTCCAAAAGGTTTCGTTCTTCAGATATTTGCGAGAGATTGGGGTGGCTTGATGGGGGGGGGGGGGGGGGGGGGGGCATCATCCGGCAGTGTATTTACAACGTCTGATGATCATGTGGATTACAAATTATTGTTTCGCACGGCATCCCTCGTTCGTTTATATTTTTCATGCATTATTTGTTTTTCACTCTAAGCGGCCGTCTTGCAGGAAGAGTTGGGTAAAGCGAGAGGTTGCGCTTGGCCGCTTTTAGTCGCGGCGAAGTTATATTTGGGGTTTATTGCCGTCGCGAATGTCGGTGACAATCGATGCGGGACGCCTCTACAGCGGAACCCCATTCACATGTGGCTCCCAGAGCCACGGAGCCGACACGTTCCCTCCATCCGTCCCTCCGTCCGTCCGGGGGACACAATGAACAAGGCGCTTGCGAGCATTCCCTGTCTCAGCCCGGCATAGCACGCCGTTGTTTCGTCGACCGCAGACGACCTTCCGCCCAGAGACATCTGGGAGTTTCTGTCCGGCACCTGTAGCCGGCTGACTCGCTGCGCAGAGTGCCGCGTCTGGCCGAACGTTATCGCTTGCAGCGCTCCCACGTGTGCGGACGTGTTTTTTCGGGTTGCACCGCACATTGTTGGGCACGTTGGCCGACGTTTTGCTCTGAGTTCCAGCAGCGTCATTTTTTAGGGAACTGAGCTGCAGAAGCTTGGGAAAAATGAAAAAAGCTCCCCCCACCCCCCCCCCCCCCAGCACCTGGAGTGAAACATTGGGCAGTGTGTAGAGCAGCAGCAGCAGCAGTAGCTGCTGGGGTTATCGCGGTTGTGCTGCTGAACAGCTCTCCTCTGAGATGACGAGTCGCCCCGCGTGTTGTTGTTGTTGTTGTTCGGCATGACGTCCGTCGTTTCACTCCACGTGGTAGGAGCTTCTTCAGGAGAAATATATATATATACTTCGTGTCACTGGTAGACTGTAGTAGGCATGCGACTCATAGCCACAGCCGTAGCGAGAGGTACGCTCGATGCGAGATGCGGCGTGCTGGGCGCAGAAATATATTTCTGGTCACTGAGCAGGACAGATCCGGCTGAAATTAAGCTCCAGTTAGAGATTTTGATTGAGAAACATCTGTGTGTGTGTGTGTGGTGCGGATGTAGCGGCAGAGTGGTTAGCGTGCTTCGCTATGAGCCTGGCCACCTGAGTTAAGCTCCCGGTCGTGGATAATATCAGTGGTGAGTGACATCAGGACAGGTCCTGGGCACCCCATTTAAGTTTGGTCAAACACGTGCCACGATTGACTGTGGGGAGGACTTCATTCAGCAGTGGATTGATTAAAAAAAAAAATCTAAATTATATTTTATTATTATCATCATTTATATGGCAAGTCAAAATAAAAAGGAGCATGGGTAGGTGTTTGTCTCCGTTTTCAGTCTCAAGATCATCGCAAACAATCCATATTACTATGGCAGGAGCCAGTCTGTGTAAAACAGCCATATGTGTATATGGCTGACATTTAACTATAGGACCAGCAGATAACAAACATAAATTCCCACCTTTTAATATTTCAGTTTCCTTAACTTGCAACGACGTTGATTCTTCAAACGTGAATATATTCACAAATCTGGTCGCTGTAACTTTATGGATGTGCTATTCAATATTCATACACCCTCTCATTCACACACCCACACCCACACACCCACACACACACCCACACACACACCCACACACACCCACACACACACCCACACCCACAACAACAACCGCCATTCGCCACTAAGTGGCGGTGACGTCACCACGACGCTTGTGCCAGGCTATGTGCACCCTGAGGCCACGTGAAGTGTCGAACGCCCGCTGGCAGGAGGTCACGGGGCAGACCCAGGTGCCACGGGTCGACTGACTGAGATGACTGGCTGATGCACCACCTGTGCCCCCTACTGTGCCAACACACCCACACATACCCACACACATACACCCTCTCATTCACACACCCATACACACACACACACACGCACGTGAGCGAGTGGCCAGTGTGAGGAGCGGTAGTGTAGCATTTCGCACACTGCGAGTCCCACTCGGGGCTAACAACAGTGGGGAATATTTGAGCATCCGCACTGGGGGAGACAAAGGCGGCCGGGCGTGGTTCTGGCCAACCCACCCCCTCGTGTGCCGTGCCGGCCTTCATCGGTGCGACTCGCTAACAGCACTTGCCCCAACAATCTGTTAAAGGCTATACGGGGGGGGGGGGGCGGTGATCTTTGTAAAACATTGAATAGCACGTGTATGCATGTGTGCCAATAAATAAAGAAGTGGGTACAGAGAGAGAATGTCGATGAAAGAGGCAGGAATTAAACGCACGAGGTGCAAATGTTTTCTTAAAACGATCACAGGTTTTTTTTTTTTGCGCAAAATGACTTCTGCTAATGGCTGGTGTGTGAAACCGTGCGGTTCCCGACTCGCTGCAGGCACCCCGGCAGAAGTTTCCTCTTGATAACGGGCACGCGCACGCACGCACGCGCACGCACGCGCACGCGCACGCACGCCCGCTGATACACAGTAACTCGTGTGTGCAATGGGGTGCACATGCACAGATGAAAGCCCGGGTCATAGTGCCTCTCTCTCTCTCTCTGTTGCCAAATGAGCCACACAAAGTTATTCTGGAACTCATTTCCATAGACGCAAAGACAGTAACTGCGATGCAGTTGTGAGGTTACGTGCGTGTACATCAGCTTTGGCCACCACTCTGTGTGGACGAGGGCCTTCCCGGCAAGGGTCACACACTTTCTCGACACGGCGAGGGAGGCGAGGACTGAGATGGTTTGGGCATGGCTTGAGAGGAGACGAAGGAGATGCAATTAGAAAGGGCGGTGGCGATTAGAGACTCATTGATTCACACATGGACGCGCAGACTCGCACAGAGGCCCATAGACCTGCACTGAGAACCGAAGACTCGCATAGAGACCAAACAGACTCCTCGCACAGAGACCCAGAAACTCGCATGGAGACCCATAGATTAGACGGGCTACGGAGATGCCACCGATGCAGGGCAGAAGGAGACCGATGGTGAGGCGGGAGATTGCGGTGGAATGAAATATGAGGACAGTGGATTTGACCAGAGAAGAGGCACAAAATAGCAGCTGACGGAGACAAAAAAATCCGAGCAGTCAGCCCCATGGAATTATGGGGCCTGTGGCTTAGAAGGGGCCTGCTGGATGAGGACCTCCCCATGCCGTGCAGGTTGTGAGGGTTAATTGACTGCATTTAGCCACGATGGTCAGTGCGGGTTGGCGAAGCTTGGGCATCATGGACATGGGAGATGAGAAGTCTAGTTAAACGATTGATTTTGCTGTACCACTCTTTGCTACCCTCCACGTAGCGTGACGGCCTCCGCACATGTTTACATGTTTACATGACTGTTTTAGATTGGTGGTCGTCCATGCAAGCTCTATCCAGGCCAAGATCCTGCTTAGCTTTCAGGATCTGATTAAATCAGATGCATTGTGGGTACGGGTCATACTCGATTTAATGATCAAGTAACTAAAACATTTAAGAATGTTAATATTAATTGTTATCCTGACATTGCCATTTTCTGTCCAAGTCCGTGGCATTAACGGAGCCTTTGGTGTGAATACATAATTATCAATCTTGATTTTAAGCTTTCGTGACTGCAGGAATCCATACTCTTTGGTTCTTTCGGTAAAGTCACGTAGTTAGAAAATAAATGTAAAAAATCACGTCGTGATTTATTTTATTTTATACCTACGTGATTGTACCGAAAGAACCAAAGCGTATACATAATTATCGGTGTCTTGTTCGCACTCTCCACTACGTGAACAATTGGTCATCTTGGCCGAGGAGTTCAGAGGTCAGAGTGCCGAGCTGGTACCCCTGAGATGTTGAGTTTGAATTTAGCAGTGAGTGGTGTTTAACAGCGGGACCCTCTGGTGTAGTGGGAGCCGGTGGTCTCAAGCCTGGTCACCAATCACTGCACACCCAAAAAAAAGGTCCATAATTCACAACTGATCTTCATCTGGCCTTATTTGTGTCGTGAAAATCCGATTCCACCCGACACAGCCAAACACGAAGTTGTCACGTGGTGTACACGAGTTTAAATTGCCATTTATTCGCGTTTCAGATCACAAATGCGGGCATATTCTGAGGTTACACTGGCAATAGCACGGCTAGATACGTACGGTTCAAAAGAAGTTCAACATACATAGAGTGCAGAAGCGTGGCCTAAACTACTTTTCTGTATGTATGAACTTCTTTCGCATTGTACGTAGCCACTCGTGCCAATTGGAGGTGCGATTGTACAGTGCAAAAAGATACATAAAGTGACTACTTTGGACACCTACTTCAGAGCAGATACTTATTTGAATGCAACCAATTGCCTGCAATGCAACGCCACGCTACAATTATGCGTGCGCAGTGGTCAGTCGCATTGCGCTGTGAACCCGTGAACCCGAGTTCGCTTGCCGCTCACATTTGACATGAGTGGAAAGTGAGATATATTTGTTCTGGTCCTGGATCTCCACCCTTACCAACCCACACTGACCGGCATGCTGATGTTTGGTCAAACGGCTCCCGCGTGACCGCCATCATCCAGCAGTGGATTGGCAAGGGGATGATTAATATTTATATATATTTTATTATGGCTATGTTTTTGTGTACATGTGCCAAATGCTTTGGGTTGACATGGTCCCAGCAACATCATCATTGTCATCGTCCTTCTGGGGTCAGTAAAAAATAATAACATCTGGTGAAGGATGCGTGAACACCGCATTGCAGAAGTCGCCAGCGCTTGTCCTGTGGATGTCCTGGTTCATGCCGTAGGAATGTGGAATTCCTCCTTCTGGCTCAGGACACATGTGGATAACGACACACAAATGTTTATGGGAAGTGCGGGCACACTTTGACTCTTCTCTTAATAACTAAATCATCTCTTTGTTTACAAATGCCCCCAATCCCAGAGTGCACGTTGCTCTCGTTAAGGAAATATGGCACGGCGGATAGGTTTAATCCACACCGTGCACATGCATGTGATTTCAACACGGTTTTTTTTTTTTATAAAAAACTATCAAACGTGGGCTGGACTTTAAGAGGTTTACACACGCGCACGTGTATGCGCGCGTGTGTGTGCCTGTGTGTGCCTGTGTGCGTGTGTGTGCCTGTGTGTGTGTGTGTGTCTGTGTGTGTGTGTGCGTGTGTGTGCCTGTGTGCGTGTGCGTGCCTGTGTGTGTGCCTGTGTGTGCCTGTGTGTGCGTGTGTGTGCCTGTGTGTGTGTGCCTGTGTGTATGCCTGTGTGTGTGCCTGTGTGTGTGTGCCTGTGTGTGTGTGTGTGCCTGTGTGTGTGCCTGTGTGTGTGCGTGCGCGTGTGTGTGCCTGTGTGTGTGCGTGTGTGTGCCTGTGTGTGTGTGCCTGTGTGTGTGTGCCTGTGTGTGTGTGCGTGTGTGTGTGCCTGTGTGTGTGCCTGTGTGTGTGCGTGCGCGTGTGTGTGCCTGTGTGTGTGCGTGTGTGTGCCTGTGTGTGTGTGCCTGTGTGTGTGCCTGTGTGTGTGTGCGTGTGTGTGTCTGTGTGTGTGCTTGCGTGCGTGTGTGTTTAGGTTGCTTCCTCTTATGATAATTAGTTACAGTGCACTCAGTGAGTGCCTTTTGCTCTGTGGATGGGTAGGTAGCGAGTGGGCTCCTTTCCGTTGATGGGAGGGCCCACACACGGCATTCATTAGGCACTTGAAACAAATCATTAATTCCAGCTGCGTCGCCCAGCCAGCCGTACTCTGCAGCAGCAGCAGCAGCTGTGGGGGAGAGAGCAGCAATGCAGTAGCACCTGCCTACAGAGCTTTCTTGTCCCGGTTCGAGCCATAGGAACGTTGATTTTGGTGGGGTTTTAAAAACACTTTTTTTGCCGCTGGCTGAGCACCAACGTAGATGAATGACACGAGCGGCATTTGTTCAAGCGAGTGTGAACGCCGGTCTGGTTTCGGCATTCCCTGGTCTCATCAGCAGTCAGGCTTCTTTAACGAATGCTGTCATTGGCAAGGGCGTTCCTTGTAAATTATGGCCCTCTACTTAACGCATAAAAATGTTGTGTACGTTTAATGTAACAGGCCGTCTGTTTATATAATATAGGTTGTGTTGGGTTATATCGCGATCGAACCCAAAACAAGATACATCGTGGATGATATTGGTCGCGAAAGCCTCCGTGTTTAAACAGGCAGTCTCTTTATGTGCACAGTGGTACTTTGAACATTTTCAAGCTGCTACGATCAGTTACTGATATGAATTCTGGATCTGAGTACTGCTCGCATTAATTGAACAGAACATGTTTGGATAAAATTTGCACGTCATTGGTATGAACGAACACGCGGACAGAGGTCTGCAATCGATAAAGTTCACGGAGAGATTGTTTTAATGCCGTAATGTAAACACTCTAACAATTGCCAGAAAGGCATTCAGATGTCAATTGTTGTGAATTCACCTTAGAAATAAGCGGTGGCAACTTCCACGGGACCCACAGTGATGTAGACAGATGTAGAGATGGCGACATGCATGGTACCTACAGTGATGTAGAGAGAGGTAGAGATGGTGTCATGCATGGTACTCACAGTGATGTAGATGTAGAGATGGCGACATGCATGGTACCCACAGTGATGTAGATGTAGAGATGGTGACATGCATGGTACCCACAGTGATGTAGATGTAGAGGTGGCGACATGCATGGTACCCACAGTGATGTAGACAGAGGTAGAGATGGCGACATGCATGGTACCTACAGTGATGTAGATGTAGAGGTGGCGACATGCATGGTACCCATAGTGATGTAGATGTAGAGATGGTGACATGCATGGTACCCAGAGTGATGTAGATGTAGAGATGGTGACATGCATGGTACCCATAGTGATGTAGATGTAGAGATGGTGACATGCATGGTACCCACAGTGATGTAGATGTAGAGATGGTGACATGCATGGTACCCACAGTTATGTAGATGTAGAGATGGTGACATGCATGGTACCCACAGTGATGTAGATGTAGAGATGGTGACATGCATGGTACCCACAGTGATGTAGATGTAGAGATGGTGACATGCATGGTACCTACAGTGATGTAGATGTAGAGATGGCGACATGCATGGTACCCACAGTGATGTAGACAGATGTAGAGATGGCGACATGCATGGCACCTACAGTGATGTAGATGTAGAGATGGCGACATGCATGGTACCCACAGTGATGTAGATGTAGAGATGGTGACATACATGGTACCCAGAGTGATGTAGATGTAGAGATGGTGACATGCATGGTACCCATAGTGATGTAGATGTAGAGATGGTGACATGCATGGTACCCACAGTGATGTAGATGTAGAGATGGTGACATGCATGGTACCCACAGTTATGTAGATGTAGAGATGGTGACATGCATGGTACCCACAGTGATGTAGATGTAGAGATGGTGACATGCATGGTACCCACAGTGATGTAGATGTAGAGATGGTGACATGCATGGTACCTACAGTGATGTAGATGTAGAGATGGCGACATGCATGGTACCCACAGTGATGTAGACAGATGTAGAGATGGCGACATGCATGGCACCTACAGTGATGTAGATGTAGAGATGGCGACATGCATGGTACCCACAGTGATGTAGATGTAGAGATGGTGACATGCATGGTACCTACAGTGATGTAGAAAGAGGTAGAGATGATGACATGCATGGTACCTACAGTGATGTAGATGTAGAGATGGTGACATGCATGGTACCTACAGTGATGTAGATGTAGAGATGGTGACATGCATGGTACCTACAGTGATGTAGATGTAGAGATGGCGACATGCATGGCACCTACAGTGATGTAGAAAGAGGTAGAGATGGCGACATGCATGGTACCCACAGTGATGTAGATGTAGAGATGGTGACATGCATGGTACCTACAGTGATGTAGATGTAGAGATGGTGACATGCATGGTACCTACAGTGATGTAGACAGATGTAGAGATGGCGACATGTATGGTACCTACAGTGATGTAGATGTAGAGATGGTGACATGCATGGTACCTACAGTGATGTAGATGTAGAGATGGTGACATACATGGTACTCACAGTGATGGAGATGTAGAGATGGCGACATGCATGGTACTTACAGTGATGTAGATGTAGAGATGGCGATATGCATGGTACCCACAGTGATGTAGATGTAGAGATGGTGACATGCATGGTACCTACAGTGATGTAGATGTAGAGATGGTGACATACATGGTACCCACAGTGATGTAGACAGAGGTAGAGATGGTGATATGCATGGTACCCACAGTGATGTAGATGTAGAGATGGTGACATGCATGGTACCAACAGTGATGTAGATGTAGAGATGGTGACATGCATGGTACCTACAGTGATGTAGATGTAGAGATGGCGACATGCATGGTACCTACAGTGATGTAGATGTAGAGATGGCGACATGCATGGTACCTACAGTGATGTAGATGTAGAGATGGTGACATGCATGGTACCCACAGTGATGTAGATGTAGAGATGGTGACATGCATGGTACCCACAGTGATGTAGATGTAGAGATGGTGACATGCATGGTACCTACAGTGATGTAGATGTAGAGATGGCGACATGCATGGTACCTACAGTGATGTAGATGTAGAGATGGTGACATGCATGGTACCCACAGTGATGTAGATGTAGAGATGGCGACATGCATGGTACCTACAGTGATGTAGATGTAGAGATGGTGACATGCATGGCACCTACAGTGATGTAGAGATGGCGACATGCATGGTACCTACAGTGATGTAGACAGATGTAGAGATGGTGACATGCATGGTACCCACAGTGATGTAGATGTAGAGATGGTGACATGCATGGTACCTACAGTGATGTAGATGTAGAGATGGCGACATGCATGGTACCTACAGTGATGTAGAAAGAGGTAGAGATGATGACATGCATGGTACCCACAGTGATGTAGATGTAGAGATGGTGACATGCATGGTACTCACAGTGATGGAGATGTAGAGATGGTGACATGCATGGTACCTACAGTGATGTAGACAGATGTAGAGATGGCGACATGCATGGTACCTACAGTGATGTAGATGTAGAGATGGTGACATGTATGGTACCTACAGTGATGTAGATGTAGAGATGGTGACATGCATGGTACCTACAGTGATGTAGATGTAGAGATGGTGACATGCATGGTACCCACAGTGATGTAGATGTAGAGATGGTGACATGCATGGTACTCACAGTGATGGAGATGTAGAGATGGTGACATGCATGGTACCTACAGTGATGTAGACAGATGTAGAGATGGCGACATGCATGGTACCTACAGTGATGTAGATGTAGAGATGGTGACATGTATGGTACCTACAGTGATGTAGATGTAGAGATGGTGACATGCATGGTACCTACAGTGATGTAGATGTAGAGATGGTGACATGTATGGTACCTACAGTGATGTAGATGTAGAGATGGTGACATGCATGGTACCTACAGTGATGTAGATGTAGAGATGGTGACATGCATGGTACCCACAGTGATGTAGATGTAGAGATGGTGACATGCATGGCACCCACAGTGATGTAGACAGATGTAGAGATGGCGACATGTATGGTACCTACAGTGATGTAGATGTAGAGATGGCGACATGCATGGTACCTACAGTGATGTAGAAAGAGGTAGAGATGATGACATGCATGGTACCCACAGTGATGTAGATGTAGAGATGGTGACATGCATGGTACCCACAGTGATGTAGATGTAGAGATGGTGACATGCATGGCACCCACAGTGATGTAGACAGATGTAGAGATGGCGACATGTATGGTACCTAC